TTTTTTTTTCTTCCAAAAGAGGCAAAGCCAAGCAAACAGGAAACAAAAACAAAGCGAAAATTACAAAAACAAACACCCCTACGGAGGAATAAAACGTGGAAAAGCCACGCCTCTAATGTCCTCCTCTAAAATACTACTAAGACCAGCCGGAATACAATTAAGGATTTCTAAATCAGTGTCACAAAGGACTCCGCAGTTGGCCAATCAATCCGTCGCGCGATTGCCTTCTCTATAAATATGAGCAATCTTGATCTCCCAATTGCCATCGTTGAGTATATTTAAACATCTGGTTATTTCATGAAAACACTCGCCTCTAGGGACTTGGCCCTGCTTCAATATTTGTACACAAGACAGATTATCAAGTTGTACCTCTAATTTCTCAATTTGCAAGTTTTTTGCCAACTCAAGCCCTCGAGTTAGAGCTAGCATTTCAGCTCTGAACGAATTGCATCTCCCAAAATTAGCAGCTAGGCCAGAGATAAAATTACCTTCATGGTCTCTAATCAAAGCACCCCCTCCTGCAGGCCCTGGAGAACCTTTAGCTGCCCCATCACAATTGATCACATACCACCCATAATTCGAGGCTTGCCACCAAATGTGTTGTTGTTGTTTAATAGGCCTTGCAAGCTTGTGTTCATCTTGTTTTGACAAACTTCGAAACGCTTCATCCACCCTGATACGAATGAACGCTCCCAAGTCGATCGGAATCTCATTTCCCTTGTCAAAAACGTAACAATTCCTCCATCGCCAGATCCACCAAACAACAATGCCAAACAAAGTTGGCCATCCCTGATCATCTGTGTTCCCAGTATCTTTGAGATTATGAGTGAGCCATTCTTTCAAAGGAGTTGTGAAAAAATTCTGGAATAGCGAGGGAGTCAAAACAATTCGCCAAACTTGTCTAGCAGCAGGACAGTCCTGTAAGATATGAAGAGTACTTTCCTCATTATGGCCACATAAGTAGCACTTAGCATCTTCAGCAAGCTGTCTTTTGTACCTATTAAGGTTCCCAAGCAAACGATCGTGACAAGCGAGCCAGAGAAATGCACGAATACGCTGTTGTATGGGGGCTCTCCAGATCAAATTCCAGCATTCTTCGTCTAATACGTCAGTTTCGTGCCTCATAATACTCAGAGCTGATTTTATTGAAAATTTGCCTCGTGAGTTTCCTTGCCAATAAACCAGATCTCCCACTGTGGGGTCTTCACGCACCACATGATTCTGAATGCATTTTAGAGTATCCTCCTGAAGATAAGGGCTGAACACATCCCAACGCCAACCATGGTTAACTTCCCACATTTCTGCAACTGTTGCTCCAGCAATATCCATGGGGATATCTTGCGTGGCTACATCACTTAACGGCTTGTCTATGGCCCAGACATGGTCCCAAAAGAGCGTTGTTTGACCATTCCCTACTGCCACCTTAATACCCTTATTCAATGTCGATGCATTCTCTGTAATTCCTGCCCAAACGTTTGACATCCCAGTTTTAGGCACAAACATATCAACATCACACCGGCCTTTGCAATATTTTGCACGAAGTACCCTTGACCACAGTGAATGTGGTTCAGTCAGCATACGAAAGCCAAGTTTAGTGAGAAAGGCTGCATTGGATTGTCTGGCAGAGTGAATATCAAGACCTCCTATTACCTTCGGCTTTTGGATCATCTCCCAAGACAAGAGGTGAACTTTCCTGTGCTCATCACTCCCTCCCCAAACGAATCTCCTTGTTTTCCTATCTATATCATCACAAATAGCTCGAGGAATCTTGGCTGATTGCATTGTGTAAAAAGACATGGTGGATAAGGTGGCCTTTGTTAGAGTGATACGGCCTGCCAAAGATAAATACTTTGATTTCCATCCCGCAAGTCTCCGATCAATTTTTTCACACAGGTGACTAAAAGTCTCCTTTGTGACTCTACTAGTTAAAGTAGGCATGCCAAGATACATGCCTAAGTCACTAGTAACTTCCATACCAAGTGCTGCACCAATATTGTCTTGTTGATCAGCAGGAACATTAGCAGAGAAGTAGACTCGAGACTTTGGAAGACTAATTTTTTGGCCCGAGGCCACACAAAATCTGTTTAAACATTTATGAATCAGTTGTGCTTGATCCACGCTAGCCTCTGCAAACAACACTATATCGTCAGCAAAAAATAGATTCGAGAGAGCCGGTCCATCTTTGCTTGCACGAATAGTTTTCCATTGGCCATCAATGATTGCCTCTTCTATCACTTGATAGAATCTCTCCATGCACATAACGAATAAATAGGGAGATAACGGATCTCCTTGCCGTATGCCCCTGCTTGGTTGGAATCTTCGAGATGGCTCACCATTCCATAACACTTGCAACGAGGATGTGGTGATGCACTCCATTATAACCTCAACCATTAAGATAGGAATATTCATTTGCACAAGTGTATCCCTAATGAAAGACCACAGCAATCGATCATAAGCCTTTTCAAAATCGATTTTGATCGCCATATACCCTTTTGCTCCTTGTTTCCTTTTCATTGTATGGATAACCTCTTGCATGATAACAATGTTGTCCGTTATTTGACGACCCGGTACAAAGCTAGCTTGGGTATTGGAGATTAAGATTGGTAACACCGGCTTAAGCCTATTAATTAACACTTTCGTGATAATCTTATAGGCCACATTACACAAGCCAATGGGGCGGAATTGTGATGCTAGAACCGGTTGATCTACTTTGGGCAGCAAAGCAATGAAGGTGCTATTGAGTTGTTCTGGAAACCCTTTGCCTTGTAGAATGGGGATCACCGTATCATACACTGTTTTGGCTACAATGTCCCAATTTTTCTGATAAAATAAAGCTTGGAAGCCGTCTGGACCCGGAGCTTTGAGAGCCGCCATCTCTTTTATGACTACATCAATCTCGCACTTTGAGTATGGGTTTGTCAGAATACTCCAATGATGTGCAGACAGTTCTGGGAAAATGTCACTTGGCATATCAAAAGACGAAGGATCTCCCTTCTCTGTGAACAATTTTTCAAAGTACTCTACAATATGTTCTTGTACGTCTTCCTTATTCTGCAGCCATTCACCATCATTATTTTTGAGAGATGTAATTTTATTTTTCCACCTACGTACTATAGTACTCAAATGAAAAAATGTTGTGTTTCGGTCACCATTTTGGAGCCAATCAATGCGAGCCTTTTGGTACCAAAATATTTCCTCACGATCCAGGATATCCTCTAAATCACGTCGCAATTTAGCTTCCAGTTTAAGAAGACCACGATCGATTTTTATAGCTAGTTTTTTCTGTATGCCACCAATTCTAGCTAATAAAATCTTCTTTTGCTTGAAAATGTTTCCAAACGTATTGCGGTTCCAATGTTGTAGCTTTGTGGCCAAATTTGACAAAGATGGCATAAGAGAATTCGAGGACTCCCAATTTTCAGACACATATTCCTTGAATTGTTCATGAGAAAGCCATGTTGCCTGAAATCTAAATGGGCGATGCAGCGCTTGAAGCGGAACAAATCCATTTGGTGAAATAAACAGAGGGCAGTGATCCGAGTGAAATGCTGTTAGATGTTTCATTGAGGCTCTTTCAAATCTCATTGCCCAAGCATCATTACATAAAGCACGATCTAGTCGTCCGCTCTTGCGGGTTTCAGGAGATAAGCCCCTAGCCCAAGTATGTGCAGCCCCTGAAAATTCAACTTCCAATAAATCCATGTCTTCTATCCACGCATTGAACATGGCCGAACGACGAGTGGTTTCTCTACAAGAATAGCTTCTTTCCGATGGAAATCTGGTATCATTGAAGTCCCCCGCAATAAGCCAAGGCTTATTATGGGTTGTAGCAAACTGTCTCAATTCATCCCAAAGTTCTCTCCGCTTTGTAGGGTCGGGACTTGCGTAAACCGCTGTGAAATACCACGGAGTAGCACCTACCCTTGTGATGTCCATCGTAATGTGCTGATTATGTTTAATAATCGGATTAACAGTCACAATCTCAGGTCTCCAAAAAACCCAAATACCCCCACTAAAACCAATTGCATCTACCCTCGTGTGGCCAGCATATCCAAGAATAGATGCAATTTTAACAGCTTGATCACCTCCCATGTGAGTCTCTACAAGAGTAATGACATTAGGATTATTCGAACGCACCAAATCTTTCAGACTAGTGATGAAATTTTGGCTTCCTGATCCCTGTACATTCCACACAAGGCATGTAATAGGTAAAGTGTCCGGAGCTAAATTTGGTAGACAATCTTCCATAGAAATAGGAATATGAGGTAAGGTAGTCAAATAAGCTTGACTGATCATTCTCAGCACACGCTGAAGTTCAATTGGAGCTTTTAGAGTCATCACCACATCCGGGGGATCGGAGATTGGTGGTAGGAATGACTCCATGTGAACCTCCAGAACATGAATCAGGGGGTTCATGATCATAAAGTGAGGGTTCTCCATCCTCTGCCCTATGAACAGGGTCTTTTCCGGGGGATTTTCAGAGTTATTGGGTAATGAGTTGGAGACATGAGAATAACTTAAAGAATGCTTCGAGTTAGCTTGATGTGTCTTCCCATTGGCTTGAGATGGCAAAATAGTGGCTTGATTATTGGCTTCTTTATTTACTTCAGAGTACACCGAGGAATTTTCCTTGCCTTGTTCACTCACCTCTACTTTTTTGGAAGAAACAGGACTAGAATCTCGCAGAGTATTCTGTGAAATAACATTTAGGGGGTGTTTGGTATGGAGTTAATGTAGGAAACGGAATGGAAATAAATTAGGAGGGGAAAGGGTAACAAATAGTGTTACCCTTAGTAGTTGTTTGGTACATCAAAGGAAACCGAAACAATTATCACCATTCCGTTTCCTTTTGTTTGGTATAACAAACGGAAACGAAAAATAAGAATGAATAATACAATATTGTCTATGCTCATATTTTACGGGTAAAAAAATAAAAAAAATAACCTAGATAAAAAATATTGTCTATGCTACATATTTTACGGTTAAAAAAAACAATATATATATACAAAGCAAAGTTGGCACTCATTAATTATCCAAACATTGACTAATAATATGTCCATCATTATATGAATAATCCCAACACATAACTTGTATTGCTCAAGTTGCAAATGTTCAACAAAAAAACAAAGACATGACAACAATCAAATGCTACTTCTTCTTAAGAAGATCAATTTGCATATTGTTTTTTCATGTTAAATGGTGCTTGATAGAAGATACGAAGCTTATGTTCTTCCGCCATGAGAATAGTAGCAACCTCTAAAGCTTCGGATGGAGAAATGTCATCTAACTTCATCACCTCATCCAATACCTTGTTCACCTTTTCATCCATCCTTTGCTCCCTTTCTTCCGCTTTAGACCATGCACTAGCCATAGTCCCGAGATTAACATTGATATTTTCAAATATCTTCCCAAAATTGTTGGAAACATCATGGAGAGAGGCCACCAAATCATCATCATCATTCCTACACAAACTCTTCAAATTTACCTTGTTCTTTCCTTTCACCTTAACCTCCTTTGCCTTTATAGAGCGTTTTGCCATTTTTGAAGGAGTTATATGATCATCCTCTATCTTCACGGGGCGTTTTCTGGATTGACTTGTAGAAGAATAAGTGTCCAAATTAGTAGAATTCACATCATCTTCTTCATCACTCTCGACAATCAATGGTTGCTTATCAATATCTTGATCAATACCTTCTATGGCATCAACGAATGACTCACTTACATCTCCGGTAGCTTTGTCTTTTGCATATATTTCTGCTAGAGTTTCATAATGAACGAATGGAACTCCATACAACCCCTTAGCTTTCTTATGAGTCTGTCATATAAGAGAATGTAAAATTAAGCACTAATTCTCATATAAAGTACAACCGAAACACTACTCCCTTCACTGCAAGGGATAGGACAAAATTCAGGAATAAATCTAAGAAAACCAGCCAAAACCAATTGACACCAATATTAGCTAAAAAGTCACCTACAAACATACACCAACCAGGAAACCAAAACAAATGCTCCTGAAATCACAGCCTGCAACAAAAGACAGAGCAACCACACTGACAGATACCAGCAGGCAGACTCACAGACAACACAGCAGTAACAACATAAGGACAACAGCCACCAACAAGCAACAAGACCGACCACAAAAAACAAAGCATAAGCAACAAACAACAGTCTGAACCAGCAGCAGTAACCTGATGGCACCAACAGCTCAGAGTTTGCAAAAGCAACTTGAAAACATGGATACTAATCGTACTAATCATACTAATCATACTATACTTGCTGTCTAAATTTTCTTCTGAATTATAGCTAGTATACCATGTCAAGTGAGTATATAGTTTTCGAAAAACTCAGAACACAGATTTAGATGAATGGTCATCTGCTGGTAATAATACTGATTTGTTTCTCATTATGTCAAGATTTCAAGATACATTCACAAAGTTAGTATGAAACTAAGAAGGTTAGTGTAATAAATAGCAGTTCATACCTTCACCCATTCATCTTACACGACCTTGTCTACTTGCAACAATTTCTTTTCAGCATCCCATCCAAATCCTGAGGTGGATAGCATTTCTGTAAATGCACTATATTTCTCCGACCAATGCTTGATCCTCGACTCAATGTGGGGAACCGCTCTCAAGCCACAATTAGGAAGTACACCATTGATCATCTCTTCCAATTTATTCATGTAACCATTCTTAAACCCATTCTCACACTTCCACTTCGGATCGCAACTCAACTCATGCAAATATCTTATTAGAACCGCATCTTCTTCATACGTCCAATACCTTTTATTTTTACCTCTTCCTCGATTGCTAATCTCCATCCTAAACAAATTGTAGATTAGAAAATTAGGCCAAAGTTAGAAAATGATCCTATAAAATATAATCAATTTTTCAAGTAATAAAATATAATTAATTGTTAGTTACACTAAGGCAGACATAGGCAGCAACAATAGCATACAAAGACAGCAACAGTAGCATATAGAGGCAGCAGGAGACATGTACTTATATATATATTGTTTAGGAAGCTGGTAAACAAAGAAGACTGAGAACTTTCCTGCCCTTAGCTTGAAATACAACTGGAATATGAGATGCAAAATCCTCTAAAGACCTTTAGCTTAGTAAATGAAAGACATCATGTATCTGAGTTTTTGTAGGCAACTTCGACTTAAGCTACTTTAACTAATAACTACTTGAACTTGAGAGGGACCAAAATACTCATAAGCTACTTAGCTACTTTTGGTTACTCCTACTCTGTAAATATTACTGCCTGTAAGCAAGTAATTTGAGCCAAACCCAGTCAACAACCTTAAAATTTCTCTTTGACTAAAAGAAAAAAGGTACATAACATAGAGCAGCATAAAAGAAAAACACTCAAAATCAATTCAAAAAAATAGAACATCCCCTTGACACAGAACAAATCAAGGCACAATTCATGATCAAACAAATTAAGAGGCAGGATAATAAAACAGGCATAATTCCAATTTCAGAGTACAATATGCTAATGGTAAGCTTATTAAACAAAAATAATCTAAAAGAAAATGCCACAAGCAGATATATGAAGAAACATATATTAAAGAAAAAGCATACATTGTTTGCTATTGACCATGTCTACCTCTCGCCCTCCAATCATTAAACATATCTTGGGCTAATTTATTTCTAAAATTGGTCCAATGATCCGAAGTAGCAACACTTGTAATAAATTCCCTTTCATCATCGGAATCACTTTCGGAATCATCATCGGATTCATTCAATTCATCTTCGTTTATATCATCCGTAGGCATGAATTTTCTAATTAGATTATGCAATAAGCAACAAGCCATCACGATACGCCCATGAGTTCTAATAGGAAAAAATGAAGGACTTCTAAGAATACTCCATCTTCCTTTAAGCAGGCCAAAACATCTCTCAATGACATTTCGCGCCCTAGCATGTTTCATGTTATAGAACTCCTCGGCACTTTCGGGTTGTTGATCCGTCCATTCTTTTAAATGGTATCTTTGACCTCTATATGGAGCAAGAAAGCCCTCACAATTCGTATATCCCGCATCAACCAAATAATAATTACCTTCAAAGTTATTAAAGAAACGGATTACTACCTACCAAAACTAACAAAACTTATACACTCACAAAAGAATGATGAGCTTCACTTACCTCGAGGTACCCTAAAACCGTTTGGTCTAGAGAGAGCATTGCGAAGTACACGCATATCATGGGCCGAACCTTCCCAATCAGGAAGAACATAAATAAATTGCATATTCGGTGCACAAACACCCAATACATTCATAGCAATTGTTCCTTTTCTTGTTCTATACTTTGGTCGTTCTTGTGAAGGCACATTTACATTAATGTAAGTCCCATCTAATGCCCCTAAACAATTCTACAAAAATACGAAAAATATTACTTACAAACAAGCAAAAATAAGAAAATCCTAGCAAAGGGCTTAGAAAAAACCAATACCTTGAAAGATTTCCACCTTTCATCTTCACAATCATCCGATATTGGCGTGGGATTGTAAAGTAGTACTTCATGCAACTTGAGAAAATCCCTTAAACAAAGGTGAAATTGCCGGCTCACGGTTTCTCCACTTCTAAAGAAATATTGTCCAATATATCTATTCTTCTTATGGTGAGCCAACGTGTATAAAAACATGGCTACGATCTCTTGAAGCGACATGTTTTTTGTTCCACTTAAACCCCCAATGTCTCTAAGCATCTCACAAATAATATTGAAAGTTCTTCTATTAACGCGAAGCTCACTCTTGCATTTCACATCACTCTCTCTATAAAGCCCTCTCAAAACTAACATTCGTAGCAATTTTTTGTTTCTTTTCCTTTCTTTTAATTGAACACCCCTTATTGTAACAACACACATCATATGCCACATCCAATACATCATCAAAATAATAATAACCGTTGAAATAACTAGTTGTATTTGTTTTAGCTTTTTCTTCCTTATGGAACGCATAAGTCGGGGCATTGTAGAAACCTTGAAAAACCAGTCCAAAAAATATACAATAGTATCAATATACATAATGCTTAACACAAGCAATAATTGATATCAACCATATAAACAACACTTCGTATGACTGACAGTTTTAGACAAAGTCTTGATGTACACAGATTGGTAATGTAGATTAGGACTAGTTCACCTAAAATTGGTAATAGCAGCAGGGGGGAGGGGCAGCATCAGGGGAATAGCAGAAGGGGGAAGGGGGAAGCAGTAGGGGAATAGCAGAAGGGAGGAGGGGCAACAGCAGGGGAATAGTAGAATTCCTCGGCACTTATGGGTTGTCGATTTGTCCATAAGCAAAACAATAGCAATCAAGTAACAAGAATTAGAGACCCAATATGCCTTAAAAACCAGCAAAGCAATAGCAATCAAACAACATTAACAATCTGCCTCAAAACATTGATTTTTGCTTAACAAAGCTGATTATTTACCATTGACATTTGCTAAACAAAGCTGATTTGCAGATAAAAACATCAGTAAGTATTACTATTAAGCATAAAATCGAAATTTGGGGGAAAAGAAGCCAAATAATAATAGCAAATTATAATAGCATAAAATCGAAATTTGCATGACAAAACATCAGTAAGTATTATTTCATAAAATCAAAATTGATATCATGTTAGCAATAATGTCATGAAGCAAAAAACAGGAGAAAATAAAACTCAAATAAAACTGAAAAATTAGGATAGAAAACCCTAGAAATTAATTAACACCATAAATCGAAAATAGCAATCAACACAAAGAAAAAATATAGATCGCAAATCAAATTAAATAGCAATATTTCAATATACAGTAGAAAAATCAAAACGCAATCAATAAGACAAAATTTTTATAAATTCAACACAACTCAAAAACTAGGGTTCTTCAACAAAAAAGTGAGATATTAAACCTTGAGTTTGTTGATTTCTGGAAATTTGAAGTACGAAATTTAGAATTCTTCAGCGAATTTGTGGCTTCGATCGATCAAAGTTGAGGATTGTGGGGAGATCTGTTGTATGAGAGGAGAGAGAATAGATAGAGGAAAGAAACGGGATTTGTTTCCCCAAGTTTTACAGTGGAAACAAAGTAATGGAATGGGTTAGAGGAAGGAAACGGTTTCTATTACTTAACTCTTTAACCAAACATCTTCTAACGGAAACGGTAACCCGATTCCGTTACTAACCCCATAAAAAGCCCATACCAAACATGCTCTTAGAGGCTTCACATGCTTCTCAACTTGTTTTTTCTTTTCAGGATAAACTTTGGAAGGAATTTTTTTTTTGATTTATTTTTCGCATTATTCGCGGATAGATTTTTCTCCTTATCAAAAGATGAAAAGGCAATATTTGGCAAAAATTTCTGAGAATTATCCCCTAAATTAGTTGTACCAAAAATATTCCCTTCGTTATTTTGTTCACCTTCCTTATCTTCTCCCATATCGGCTTCCAAGATATCCTCCTCTTGATTATCAAGAATTGAAAATCTTGACCCAATCCCCTGATTCTCTCCAATATTTCCTGAATTATTGGACATACGTGGCTGAGCACCACTTTCACCCCTTTTGTCCTTTCCCAACGCGCCACCAGTATTGGTGTTCCCAATCCCAGCAGTCTTGTCTTGCTTAGGATTTCTCTTACGAACAGGCTTTTTGACAAGCATCCAAGAACCAAAATTCTCCTTCTCTTCTGGTTTCTTCTGATGATCAGGTGCAGGCTTGTTATGAATTATCATATCACCTCCTTCGGTATTTTCTTCAATTGGCATACATTCAGCTTCAGCATGCCCAAGTTTCCCACACTTGAAGCATACCATACGAATTCCTTCGTATTGAATCCTCCAAATTCTCCCTTTTAACCAAAATTTTGATAGCAAGGGTTTAGTGAGATCAATTTCAACACTAATGCGAGTAATTGACCTCTCTCAGCTTGTGCCGTGGTTTTATCAACTCTGAGCACTTTACCAATTTTAGAACCAATTTTGTTCAAAAAATTGATGTCAAAGTATTCCACTGGGAGATTGGGAATGCGAACCCAAGTAGTATCTTTCAATTTGAGGATAAGGGGTTATATTTTTACACTTGCCCATTTTTGGATGATTGAATTGAAGAATTTGTAGTATCTTGGGCTACTATATTATTCTGGTCTCGTTAATAAAATAAATAAATAAATAAAAATAAAAACTGTTGGATCAACTGAAATTTTGTGACTTGCCGCAAAATACAAATTTTTCCCTAAACTCTAATGTATGCAGCTTCCCCTACACCCCCCTTTCTATACTACGTCGTTTTATCTAGTAGCACTTTTTGTATTATTTTTTTTTTCCTTTCCTTCTTTGCTTTCAATTCAAACAAGAATATAAACATTTTTACAAACCTCATTTGCTTCATTTTCTCTCTCTTCTTTTTCACTGATATCATTTTCTCTCTCTTGTTTTTTCTTTTTATTATAGTTTTTTAAATTTCTCTCTCTTCTTTCATGGAGATCAATGTAAATAATTCGTACTTTTAATGATAATCAGTCAATCGATTTTGATAATGCTTTGTTTTATGATTGTAATTGTATGATTATAATGTTTTGATTTCATAGTTTTTGTTGTATTGATTTTAATTTTGATAATGCTCTGGTTTTGGTATTATTGTTGTTGTTATAAGTTGATTAATAATTTAGGTTGTATTGTTCTTCTAATTCGATTGTTTTTTTTGTTTTTGTTTTTGTTTTTGTATTTTTTTTATTGTAATGTTATTATTTGAGTGTTGTTTTTTTTTTATAGACTTCATTTTCTCTCTCATTTCTTTCACCAATTTCATTTTCTCTCTCCTCTTTTTCACCAATTTCATTTTCTCTCTCCTGGTTTTTTTTTTTTGATTTATTGTTTTTCAATTTTCTCTCTCTTCTTTCATGGAGATCAATATAAGTAATTCTTACTTTTAATGATAATTAGTCAATTGTTTTGATAATGCTTTGTTTTACAATTGTAATTGGATTATTATAATGATCTGATTTCATAGTTTTTGTTGTATTGACTTTAATTTTGATAATGCTTTGGTTTTGTTATTGTTGTTATTAGTTGATTAATAATTTAGTTTGTATTGTTCATCTAATTCGGGGTTTTTTTTTGTATTTTTGATTGTTGTTTATTCCAGTTTTGTGCGTTTCGTATGAGTATACATTGTTGTTTTAATTTTGCTATTCGATTATTTTTACCAATTTTGTGCGTCGTAAAAAAATAATTTTAGTTAAAATAATGATCACTTCTGTAACAGTAAATGTTCATTTATATTTAATGTATTTTTTATGTATTAAAATACTTGTATATGTTTATTGTAGTTGTATTTGAATACTTATGTTGTACATGTGAATTTCAATTATTTTCATTGTTTTATAAATGCTCATATACATTTTAACTAGTGAATATATTTTATATTTGTTCTGCTGTAATAATGTTCATTTATGTAATTATAAATGTTCATTTATATATATACTTGTGTTTATGGAATTATATGTTGTACATGTGACTTTTTTTAATGATTATCACTATTTTGTAGTTTCAGAAATAATGTTCAGTTATATGACGATAACTTATCATTTATGTTTTACATTTGGTAATTCAACTGTAATTGACCAAATGCATCATTACAATTGAACATTATTGCTAATGTAATTTATTACATGTTACATTATTGCAGTGGGAAAAAAGGATATTATTATTTTTGAAGAAGCAAGTAAGTCTGAGTTAGTGGGGAACGAAACAATTTAAAACTGCTGATGAAGTTTATGAAATGTGTTCAAATTCCAATTATATGGTCAAGCAAATAATCAAGTTGCTACTAGTGTTCAAAAGATCGAGTGCTCAACTTCCTCCCATTATCTTCCAAAAATGTAAAAATTCCTATAAATGCTCAAATGACTCTAATATTTATAAGAATATCTTTAACCTTTTGTTATTAGGATCTTGCTAACGAGCGCTCCGGGGCGTTAGATAAGGTTAAATTATATTGGTTGAAATAGTATTAAGTTAGGAATTCATGACAAAATCATGCGTCGTTCGGTGCAATTAATGTTAATTTTACTCTAATATTTGCACTTTAATTCTCTTATCTAACGCCCCGGGGGCGCTCATTAGCTTTTGCCTTGTTATTAAGTACTATTCTTCTTATTGAATATTAATTTTTTTTTTAAATCTTCTATAAGTGAATATTTTAGTATTTGTAATTGAGCATTTAGTTTTTAAAAATGATCATTAAGTTTTTGTAAAGAATCATTTAGCTTTTGTGAATGATCAAAATTGATTAAGATAATACTTTACATAAAATCCGCAATTTTCATATAAAATTGTAAGAATTATACTATAAACAAATAATATCTACTCCGTATCAAACTTTAAACGTATAAAATTAAATAGTTAATCACATAGAGTAATTCTGTTAACAAATAATATCTACGAAAGTATAAGTTTTATCAACCAGCTATGGACATATATCTATCCATAAGTGAACATATTATATTATGCCTTTGCAAATCTTCTTGATGTTATTCTATTATTCTTAGACTCATGGTTTTTCTTCAGTAGCATTAGTTGAGCAGTGTATTGCAATTTGCATCCCCAACCTTGTGATTTAGCCTACATGTTAATGAAAATGAATTGTTATTAAAATAAACAGTACATTAAGTGTTATATAATTGAACATTATGTGCTACAAAATTGAACACTAAATACTATAACTTGTTTATTAAATTTTACTTAAAATATTAGCTTTAAAGGCACAAACATTATGTGCTACAAAATTGAACACTAAATATTATTTTGCCAAATCGTTTATTTTTATCACATTGGTGTATCGTTTAAAAATACTCTTAGTAAAAAAAATGATCACTTGTGTAATAGTAAATGTTCATTTATGTTTAATGTATGTTTCTGTAGTAAACTATAGGTTTAATGTAGTCGTATACGAAAATATATGTTGTACATGTAAATTTGAATGATTTTCATTCTTTTAAAGATGCTCATGTAAATTTTAACTAGTGAATATATTTTAATATTTATTCCCTCAAAAAAAATAGTTTAACATTTGTTATTCTGTTTTGTTGTAATAATGTCCAATTATGCAATTATAAATGTTCATTTATATATACACTTGTGTTTATGGAATTATAAGTTGTACATGCAACTTTTAATGATTATCACTGTTTTGTAGTTTCATTAATAATGTTCAGTTATGTAACTATAGATGATCATATATATTTTTACATATGGTAATTTTACTGTAATTGATCAAATGCATTATTGTAATTGACCATTATTGCTACTGTATTTGTTCATTTATTACATTTTTAATTATTGCAGTGGGAATAGAGGATGCTGATATTTTTGAAGAAGCAAGTCACTTTGATTTTCGGAGGAAACAATTTCCTTCGGTAGATGATGCTTATGAAATATATAATGAGTATGCTTTTATGAAAGGTTTGGGATCAGAGTTAGGAGGAGTAAGAGGCGAAAGGATGGCTCATTTTTTATGAAAGGATTTATTTGTTCTAATAAGGGGTTATAAAGATAATAAGTGTAGAAATATTAGATCCTATGAGTGACTTGATACAAGAACTGAATGTTTAACTTTTGTACAGTTTCCTATTGATCGTTAAGGTGTGTTTATGAACATATTCTAATATAGTTAGTGAATGATGGTTCAAAGTTGTAAAAAAATATTAGTATTATATATATACTATTTAAATGTTTGCTTTTGAACGATGTGATTTGTAATAATACTTTGGGAAACAAAAAGTTTATATCCTTCTTATTAAAATCAAATAGAAATTGTATATCACCAAAAGTTAAACTATTGAATATTAATATACAATTCAATTCTACACATATTGATGTTGCGCGAATCCATGCATTCTTGATTTCCTTATTTTTGTCGTCTGATCTTTCTTTTTTTTCCTTGCTAAATATCCACGATTCTTTGTTTAACTAATCGACAAAAACAAGATTTTTTTAGTTAGATTTGAGCAAGAATAAGTGTTGAAATGAACCAATTTTCATATGAATATGAAAATATAACAATTGAAATGATCGATATGGAAATGAACATATATTAATATATAAATGAACATATATATTTGTAGAATTGATCATCTATTAATATGGAATGAACAACTATTAATACAATAATGAACATATTTACATAATTGAATATGAAAATGTACATCTATTAATATATAAATGAACATGCATTAGTTTAAAAATGCCTATGAAAGATATCAATCGATGAACATGAAATATATACGTAAATAACACTTGAAGCTATCAATATGTGATTTATCATACATCCATCTGAAAAAAGACATATGTTGAAACTCAAAATTTAACCGAGCATGAAATATTTGAAGAAGATGACCAAAATATAAATATATATCAAAATTCTAGTAATCGTATATTAATATGTGAAAACCATATACTTTTATGCGATTGAACATCTACCAAAATACAACCGAATATTCATCTAAAATCACTTTCCACTCCAAACTATGAAAAAGAATGACATTTATATATACAATGACTATGTAGTAATAATTTTCCACTCCAAACTATGAAAAAGAATTAACATTAATACAATGACTATGTTGTGATATATAAATGTAGTAATATATTTATATTAATCATCTATTAACATGTGAATGATTGTATACTAGTATATAAATGAACATTTATTGAAACGGAAATGAACATTCAGTAAAAAAGAAACGCTACAAACTAATTCAATTAATGTTTACTTTTCTCCAGATTCTTTGATGTTCTTCTCTGAAACTATTTCCTTCAACTGCCCAAAAAAAAAAAAAAGAGAATACTTCATAGTTCATACCCAAAAATGAAAAGCTACTTGTTCAGATTACTAGTTTTTAAACGAAAATTAGTAAAAATTACTAAAATGCAATAGTTCATAATCTTTTTCTATGTTTTATACTTCGATGATGATCCTGTAACACAATTGCAACAAAAAAATTACTAAAACTAGGGTTCGTTTATATTCTTTTTTGAACTAAATATGAAAAAAAATCACTTACTCCTTTGAATTTCGACCTTGATTAGTTGAATTATGTAGCAACTGAACAATTTTTTTTGATAATTTGTCACAAATTTATAGAAATTTCATATTTGAAAATGCAAAAAATAGATGTAGAGAGAGAAAATGTAGAAAATGGGTGAGGAGAGAGAAAGTGAAATGATAATGGTTTTTTTTTCTTATGTATATATGGGGTGGGGGAAATAGTACGGATATTACTATGTAG